ATGTGATTTGTACCGGCCCGTATACGAATCACTGAAGTCAACTGTTTGCCTCAGGCTGTCTTCAATATGAATTGCTGGACATGTTTCAAATGTTTCACAAACTCCTTTTAAAGCTTATATTTTCGGGGATCGGATATGTGCACACTGAATATGGTATAACCAACTTTTAGTTAAATTCACCTTTCTGATGACCGTTCTAGTGATCTAATGCATGGTTATCTTTGTTTGTAGTTTATTGCGCGCCAACCACCCATGATTAACATATCTTATAAAGGTTATTTCTTAGTCATTTTCCACAGAGGTTTCGTGTTGGACTGCAACTATTGCACAGAATGATGGTACCCGCGCTCGTCATTTTGTCAGTTATGTGACCAGCTGTGAAAAAAGCGGTGACTCCCGTTTTAACGTGAAAAGGAAGGTGAAGGTGTAGGTAATTAATACTACAGAACTATGCAGCAATAAATGTAACAATAGTTGGAGATGGAATAAGCCCGGACTTGCTCGTATATGGTATTTCACAAAGCAGATACGGAACCACTTGTGCTCCGTTGTTTTCCCTTCATATACATCCAGCTCGGCAATATCTAACCTCAGCTTTCTGCGCTCGCTCGCTTGCAAGTCACGCCTACTCTTCCACCTGCCGAACAATGTCTCAATAGTTGCGAACAAGAGTAGGCGACTAACCTGTGAACGACATCGAGCATTGTCTCAGTACTGACTCCGGAATTTGTGGTATCCCTCACAATATGCAGGTGATCAGAAAAGTACAGTCAGCTGTTTGAACGTGATGCAAAGCACCGCGTCCTATTCCGAGATATGCACTTCCCTAAATTGGAGATAACGTGTTCAAACGGTAGTATATAGTTTTATACTAGATGTATGGAGAAATCAGCCCAAGAAGTGAGGCAGCACAACAAAGTATTAAACGTCCTTTAGTTCTAGTCAACATGCAACCCATTCCAGTGGTCAACTGTTTAGGTGTGCTCATGAATCGCGACAGGTGAATAAGGTGAATACTAAGATCGTACTCTAGGAGGAGAATATGTTAACGCTAATGCCTCAACCAGCCAACGCAAGCTCTGCCTGTGCACAGAAGAAGAGAGTTAGACGCTTTAACCGCACTGCAGCGTCTCAGTCACCAAATCCTCTGGCGGATCTCACTCATAAAATAGGACGAAATTCAAACATGCCTCTCTGCACTCCTTTCATCTATGCAGACCATATTAGGTCAGTGGCGGTGATGGCATCCTCGAGCCAGCGCCGGTCCACCATCGAGGAAAGCTTAGCATCAATCGAATCGGTTGCCAATCACGCGATCACCGGTGAAAACAACATCAACTCCGGTAGCCGCACTGAGCAACACTAGAGTGCTGCGGCTTACACATCCCACAAAACCGTTTAAAACGGTAACAATAAATACCCAAAGACCAACAGGTAAATGAAGGAATATTGGCGTCTTAGCTGTCATGTACGCACATGTTCCGGATGCATAGTCTAGTACCAATAAAAGGAAGCTGATAGACGACGGTAACCAGTGAAATTTCACTTGTGGTACGGTTAGCATTTCGGTTGAGACCACCACTCTGAGACGAGTCCCACGTCACCCAAATTCAGTGCATTGCGGTGGAATTTGAACTCCCCGGGTGACATGGAATTCTGCTGACGATGCGGAAGTCGTCCTATTATCGTCCATTCAGCTCCGTAACTGATCTCATGAGATGCGCCTATTTCCGGACCTTCCTTGGAATAAATGTGGAAAAGAGAATTGGCAACCATGCAGACGTTCGTAAATCTATTGTAGCGCCGAACTCAGTTGCAGGTAGCGACAATTACCAGCAAGACCAACCACGGATACCGAGTAAACAGAAGTGAAACGTTGCCGAACCCAAGGTGTATTGTACAAGCTACAACGAACTGAAAGTCAATAAGCGAAGCACAAAGCGATGAACAGCACAATTCACAGGAAACGAAAGTGAACCAGATGTATCGTCAGGAAAACCAATGGAAGATCGGCAGCTACAAACAAGCATAAAATCCCATGCTACAAAATACTGAAAGTGTAAATGTTCCTCGTTCACTACGCTATCGAACAATGGATCTCACGTGCTTCAAACATTCTCCTCTGAGGAAGTGGAGGCACATGACCGGGTGCAGTAGTGTAACCTCCGCCAAGCAATCTCCCTAGACTGATCAGTAGTAAATAGTTAATGCAAATTCCAGTATCATATGCAATCTGTGCAACTGAGACCGTTCATATTGGAAAACTGGCCTAAATTCTGCTAGATGCTGCAAACAGAAATTAGATTTAATGCTGCAGATACTGTGCCACGTGTGACTGATGATTTACTAGGAACGGCCAAATTGGTGAATCTTCTTCTCATGCACTATCCTAGAATAACCTAAGAACCAATTGGGAATTCATAGCGAATAAGCGGTCGACGTTAAACCCAGTGCACACCAGTGCGGATCGCATGGGTGCTGCTTAGGATAAATGCAGCCCTTTTGTAACACCGCAGTTCGATTACATTTACTACACCAATTATCCCCATAAAGAGCCGGGATGAATGCACGCTATTACACACTACGACATCCTGTTCACATCCGTTGAAGACGATCGTTGGTCAAACATGACAGCGCACCCCAGCGACTGCGTGGGAAGTAATCTCATCACTAGACGTGAAAACAAAGGCGCCGAAGACTTTCGTTGTCCCTTCAAATTAAATTGGTTTTGAGATGTTGAACACGAGAATATATGGCCCTATTTGCTTGTGCGTTTACATGAACTATCCTAGCTCAGAAAATTGGACGAGTTACGTGGCTCAATGCAAATACGGTTGTTTCATCAAGACTAGATAACACCCAGACTGAAGCTGGTGATACAATTCCGCTCGAACCACAAGCTTCCCTGCAGTCATATCAATTGCATTCGTGAAGGTCTGCGTTGTATCTTGTCACTCAGTACAGTTGGTGTGTGTAAGTACACAGTCTGAGAGGCGTCCGTTACATTATGGTTGCTGTACACACCTACCTTCCAAGCAATGCAAGGCTGGACGAATATTCCGTTTCTATCACTCCAGTACCAAGGTTGATTAGCGACAATTTCGATGCAGAAACGGCGACAAACAGCTGCTATCGTTGCGCGCACATACAGCGCTCATGAACCGACTAACATCCACTCGATAGCAAAGTAGATAGCAGCCATGTACCTAGGAAATTAGTGGATGGGACAGGAGCAACGTTTTAAGGTAGCTGGTAGATCGAAAATAGAAGACAAGTACCTTACAAACGAGATAGGGATCGCATGAATTTGTGCGTTAAAACAGGAAGGATAATAGTTTGCAATCACCTCAGATATATGGAAACACGGAAAGACCTAGGAACTAGCACACTCGTTCCAATTTCACAACTGGACGCAGTAAATTAGGGTGCCACCGATTATTCTCTACGCTGACCAGGGCATCAAAAAATCGTTTGAGGAAGTTATGGCTGTTTCAATATCTTGGAATATGTTTGGAACCGACTGGGATTTCATGATTTCAGAAGGCTTTGAATACAAATCGGTTTTAGAAGGGTTTTATTGTGGCAACGTTTCGCCCTTGACACAATAGTTTCTTCAGGCCAGGTTGTGGCTGTATTGCGCGGATAAGATTTGTCAGCTTACAAGAGCCTGGACAAGAGCGTGGTTAGAGCTGTCAGTCGAAATTGGTTTCAAAACCTGAACACAAGGCAGCCGGTGCTTAACATTGGGCTAAAAAGAGTCTGATTTAGGAGCAACGTGTTACCTTCATTCCAAACCCAAACCCCGAGGACTTAGGGTCTGAATTTGTTTGGCATCTAACCACTGGTCGATCTGGTATGACTGAGTCCGGAGATGTGAATTAACCACGAGGAAGAGCTCAATAGCTTGTTAAGGCACGCGAATAACCACACTACTTTAAGATCCAGTTTTATTCGCATGGTTACGCAACATTCCGAAATTTGTGTTTCTAACTAAGAGCACCGAAGTATTTACGATCGTGATGAAATAAGGAAGCACAAATAATAACTAGAACAGCCCCCCTTGAGAGCAGCGAGTCCCTGGGGTCTGAATACGAGGTAGTTAGTACGAGCTGAGAATTCAACACTGCTTCCTGATGTGGCTTATCAAAGGTTGGCGCGGAATGTGTCCCATGCTGCACTGCCAAACTCAGTAAGCACCAAGTGAAACCCAATTGCACATTATAAGACTATTTTCTTGCTTTTCACTAATTGCGTCCAGCGTACGCATGCAGCAGGGTCAAATGGTGACTGCCAATCCGTTTCCCTCAATCCGCGGAGGTCGCTGTTTTACCCTTTATTAGTTTGCAGTGCTAGACGTCACTTCTACCCCACACCCAACTCACGATAATTCGCATACTGGCGGTGTGCAGACAACGTTTTGGAAAGGCATGAAGATCAAGCGGGCCTGTGTATTCGCATTAGATGAGGTGCTGTCGGCTTGCGCAGTCCACACATACTCACTAATATGGGGCAGCGCTCGAACCCGTAAGCCGAATGAGCCATGTATTGAGTGAGGGCAATGTAAGCTGATCACCTGGCTCTGCAAGCAGGAAGACAGTAGTGGTTTACCCTCCTACGTATTCATAAACAGGTGTTAACTTAATCGACGTTCGAGACTATGCAACCTGCGTCTGCATGGGCCTTGTTAGTTGGTGGTGCTAAGTGAACTTTTTCGATCCATTTGACCGTCTCCAACTAAGCGTGCAGGAGGTTAAGCCTGAGTTCACCCCTTTTACTAGACTGCACTGGAAGCCCTTCGAATCCCTCTTTCCTCAAGTGCAACTTCCCAACAGCATCAGCGGCTGTCTCATCACTTGGCTTGTCCGTAATGGTTCCGATTCCTGCCAATCCAAGCACAGCAGTCCGCAAGATCTCCAGTGGCCGTGTATGGGAGTGATTGGGGGACTAGGGCTACGCACTGGTCCGATGGGTCAACAGCGGACCAATGGCGACGCAGCACAATGTATAAAACGAACGTCACTCACGGATCATTTGTACATGCTGATTCGTTCGTCACGTCGAGTGACTTCATAGTGTCTGCAGCCGTTCAGTTCGCAAGTGAGTGCACTGACCCCTCTCATGCCCTATAACATGCTTCCTCCCTGTTCATCAGATAATCCTGTCAAAATGAATATTTATGTGGATGGATGTGTACTGTCAGACAACCGCGCCGGTGCTGGCGTCTTTTGGGGAGAGGGCGATCATCGGTAACCTCCTTTGTTGGTTATTATTAATACAACTTGAATAGCAACATAGCGAAACGTCTGGGGTGGCATCACACGAGTTTGACTGCCGAAATCGCAGTGAGTGTTTCTAGCACACATAAATGGGGTTTTTAGTGCTATTTTATTGTCATAAGTGTCCATTTTGCTGCATTTGATGCACAAATGTTTTTTCCTCCATCCGAATTCAGGCTGCGGTAACCGCTATCAAGCAGGCGACGGGTTTGGGTTTCCTAAAATTCACCATCGTAACCGACTGCGATGCAGTAGTCGAATACGCAAATGGCAAGAGGAAAGAGCCTGCAATCGATGCGGGGATGCTATACACATGGGTTCATCAGCTGCTTGAGTGCTTGAAATTACCTGGGCTGAATGTATCCTGGGTGAGTGGTTTGTTTTCCGGTTCAGTTGGTGTGGTGCGCAGCTCTGATTTTGTTCACCTTTCGTGCACGGCCGTCTAAGCCGGGAGCAATTCATCGGCCCGGTGATCGTGCTACTACGCTGGCAAAGAGGTGACAAAAGAGATGGCGACGTCCGTTGCCCACCAGCAGCCTGACATACTACTTCATACCTTTGGATTATTCTCTTCGTTTCAGGACATCGTTAAGGCTCACTCCCACATCCGTGGAAACGAGGAAGCAAATCGCCTGGCAAGGCTTGGTGCTGAAAAACCCGACAATTAGTTCGAGATTCTATCTTTATGCAATAAACGTATGCGTATCGGTTCGGTTCTTTCCTTTTAATTCCTTCAGGCAGTTATATTGGTAGTCGTTTGGTTCCATTGCGAAGTGCCACTGTCAACCCGAAGTGTCACGCGTAATCCACACAGATGTCTGCGTGATTTGTGAATCAAGATCACTCGGCGCGAATAACGGGCGCATAGATCGAGTGACGTGCAATATTGCAGTAGCGTGTCTCGCGGATAGTAGTAGTCGCGGTGTCAAGGAGCACAATGTCGTCCACATTGTGAGTGTTGTGATTGTTGCCCTTCACTGTTTAGCGGAAAATGCTGACAACTTGTTTCACCGCGTTTTGGATTTCTTTTGAGGGCAATGAGACTGCTGTTGTTGCTCAACTCGGTGTGCTGTGTGAGCGTTAGCACGTTCCACCTTTGTCATCCAATGTTGGGCCTTCGGATTGTTCGTAAGTGCCTTACCACTGAGATATGAGACCCAGCATGGAAGCAATGTGCTATTTAACTACGTCTATTTACTAAACTAATTCTTTTAACCGGGCTTTCAGTGGGTTATCAGCTGTGAAGGCTGATAGCTGGATTCCGGGGCACAGGTTGCACTGTATCTCAAGTGCACCCTGAAAACAATCTGCGCATATCATAAAACACAGCGCACATATGCATGGATGCTCGTTATCCCGCGACATAAAATACGCTAAATGGATGAGCCCGGAATCAGGCCGATCTGATTTGGTTTAAGTTACTGGTGGAGAAATCGTATAGAGCTGACCACAGGTTAAACTTTCGCGGTGAAGCTTTGTAGCTCAAAACTACCTTAATTGCTTAGCGAACATGCATGTTCCGTTTATCTGATGCAGCTACCCAAATTCCTTCAGCTGATGTTTGCAGCCCTTTAGCTGTTTAACGCCGTATTACTCCATTAGAACCCTATTAGTGCTTCTGAGGCTCGCAGTGAATAATTCGTAAAGATTCGCCTTGCGGATGTCTAGTTATGGATGTTTTTGACTTCCCAGAGGTTATTTTGTACACGATTTTCATGTCCATCAGCAGCAAGTGGGCTGGTCAGTTATTTATTTTTACTTTGCAGTTATCCTCACACCGGCACTTGGAGCAATCCAATAGTTTCGAGAGAGAGCAGACCCCATCCGCCTAAGTTCTTGTCATTCCTTGGTTTCTTGCGAATCACCTCTGGGGGTTAGTGACAACGGTTGTTTAGCATCCAAATATACTCTCCATCGTGATCTTAAAGAAACTACCACTTAAAAGCTGAATTCGTGGCCAGTGGATTTCTCTGCAATCATAGGTTAGGCCGCATTTTCACTTAGTATTATTTCAGCGGGTGCTAATGTCTATACCGCATAGTCCCGTTTCAAGGTTTAGCTTATGAGTGCACGAGTCGGTAGGCTAACAACTCATTGTCTTCACGTAATAAGTTGTGCGCATTTGGCGTCTTGTTTAGTCACAGATTAGCTATCAGATGCAGAGATTTAGTTAAACTTATACGTGTCGATTTGCCGATCCCGGTTCCGCCAACTCAAGTTCAGTTTTGTAATGTTGCGCGTTGCACAGCACCACAAAAGTTCCTGTGGGTGTGGGAAGCGGGCTGGGATGAACTTAATTGAACTGTAATCCTTTGTCCAGGAGCGGTTTCCGTAGAAGCTTACCCGACAGAAGCAAAGTGGCTTCCATCAAATAGATTCACTTTATACAGAGTAATATTGTTAAGATCGTGATACTTTTAGCGCGACAGATTGTCTACATGCGCTTGTGAAGTGTCCTTGGATTGCTTTCTGAGTATTTTTATGAGGCACATCGCATTGGTAAAATGCAGTGAACTGTCAAGACTACGTAACAGTCCCTCCACTCCTTCATTATTTTAAGCCAAGGTTATGCTCATCAGTGATTTAACTATATCCGTGACAATGTATACATTTCTATAGGGGTGGTTCATGGGAAGTATAATCCCAGGGTGCGGAGTTAGTACTATTACTGGACGTGCAACTGCACACAAGTTATTGGATGATACTCTTCATCTGCAAGTTATTGACGAATAGTAGTCGCCAGTTAATTTATGCTTCCCCTCAACGATACCCATGGTTACTTTAATCCCATATCTCTGCCAGTTATGTACGCATTTTCGTCTAGTGGCAGGACAAAATCGCGTTGTTCGTAATGTATCACCCAGGTAGTTTGTCCGGCAGCCATCACCGGTGTTCACAGTCCTATAACAATGCCTTAAAATTAGCGTTAGGTTAACTACTGTTATGTTCTGCATCGATTATGGAGTCGACACCACTAAATAGATTGCTGAAGCTCGTATGACTTTCTAAAGCGTAAGTGGCTTATAGAAGCGTACTATTTAAAACATACTTTTATCCAGCTGTCATGCAATCAGAGTTACCGTATGGGGTTAGGGAACTGGCCGTTACGCGCTGAGGGTGTCGGGAAACTGACTCTATTTTACCGCCTACAAAGGGACCATGGGTAGCTTGCGCTGCACCACCGACACACCTCATATCCAGTGGAAACCCGGAGGAAAAAGACCGGGAGGCATGTGGATGGGAGCCACGTTGAATCAACGGAGCCGGCACACACTCCTTCACAGGCAAACACAAGCACGCTGTAGTTGGAAATCAAGCGCACACAAGGCGGTGGCTGGACCGTAGTCCACTCCAAACTGAGTGCATGGAACCACTCTTCGAGCCGAGCACGGCCACAAGGACAGTGCACCCCGTCCCCTCCAGCAACGACCAACTTTCTCCTGGAGCCAGTATGGACGAGATAGTAAGTAATAGACAGGTAGGCACCTTGTCAACATGCACATCAAGTGCAGCCACACCGGGGATATCAAGCAACAGCCAATCACTTGAGAGAAAGATAACAAAGCCAATAAGTCGAGTAATGCATAAGGAAACGGTGACATAGATCTTAAATTGATGAGCATATGAAATAAGTTGTTTACCAACGAATCCGTGATAAGTTCAAGAGGATAGAAAGTATATTTTACGGAAATGCCACAAACACGAAAATGTTATGCAAATTAATTACAATTGGCTTAAGCGACGTGTACAAGTTTATAGAAGAAAGTACAGTTAGGCATTTATATTAGAAAGAAAAGCATTAGGACAAAATTGAAATATTTATACATATATTTATAGTCTGTTACCAGACATTGTGTCATCAGAACCATGGCAGAAAAAAATTAGAGATAGAAACAAAAACTGCGATAAAAAGAATGGAAAACGATTGTTTTGGTTATACACACGCCATTTCGAAATTTTGTTTTTTGAGCTTTGGGTGTGAATTAAAGAAGGGGTAAAATGGCCGAACAACGTTGAGACCACTGATGTCTGTTGTCGGCCATGACATCCAATGTTTCCAACCGCTGAGATTCAGCATCTCATGGTCCCCAACCTGGAAGACGGACTGGTCCAACAGCCGCCAAACTTAAGATTGCCTTCTTGATGCTCCTTTTCCACGTCATTGGCTGTCCACCGCGGCACTTATCCAATCGCTCCCTGGGAGTGTAAATAGGGATCGAAATGTAAGGCGATGGGCTGGCATACGCAAAACGTGCCCGAGCCAACGCATGCGATGTCGGAGAATAACGTCCTGAAGACTGGCACTACTCGCTCCAAGCACGTGGTCTCGCACCTCTGCGTTGCTTACGTGGTGTTGCCACCACACCCGAGCAACCTTCCGTAGACAGCGATTGTCCAAGACTGAAAGCCGCTTCATGTCTTGCGAGTGAATAGGCCAGGTCTCACAGCCGTACAAGAGCAATGCACGGACGGAAGTATTGTACACCCTGCCCTTGAGCTTGAGACTGACATCACGACGACGACATAGGTGTCTCAGTTTGATGAATGCAAGGCGGGCCTTTGCAATCCGTTGTGAGACTTCATCTCCAACACCGCCACCAGACGTGACGCAACCCCTTAGATAAGTAAAGTAAGCGACTTGCTCCAGAACATGTCCAGCAATGGTGAGCGCGGGTTCAGGCACCTGCCAGTCCGGTAGCAGCGTTTACATTTTCCCGGAGTTAAACATAAGCCGTAGTTAGACGCCTCCATCGCTAAGCGGTCCAAAGCGCTCTGGACGGTTTGTGGGTCGTCCCCCAGCAAGGCGATATCATCGGCGTAGTCCAAGTCCGTGACTCTGTCTCCAGGCAGGAGCTCAACACTGCAGTTCTGGACACCTTCCAGTGCTCTTTGGACAACATCTTCCATGGCGAAATTGAAGAGGAATGGTGAAATAGGGCAACCTTGGCGAACATCGCTGGTCACAGCAAAAGAAGAAGAAGAGAGCGTGCCCTAAGCCCTGACTTTGCCCGACTTGTGACTGTAAAGTTCTTTCAGGATGGTTACAAGCTTGTTGGGCATACCTTTCTTCAGTAAACAGTTCCACAACGCAGATCTATCTACTGAATCAAATGCCGCTCGGATGTCCAAAAACATTACGATTGTTGGCTGCCGGTGGATGTGACAAAGTTTGAGAAGTTGGCGAAGCTTGAAGATTTGTTCGATACAGCCGCGGCCTGGACGAAATCCGGCTTGTTCTTCTCGGGAAAACTATGCACTAATCGTTGAAAGCCTGCGAAGTAGGACCGACACGAATATTTTGAATGCGACAGAGCTTAACGAGATTCCGTGGTAGTTAAGCAATCGTCGCGGAAGCCTTTCTTTTGAATCGGAACAAGGACCGATTCTCCCCATGAGTTCGGAACCTTTTCCTCAGTCCAAACTTTCGTGAACAGCGATAAGCTTTCGCTGACAAGTACAATCTCGCCATCTTGGAATAGAGCCGGTGGTAAGCTGTCGGGACCAGGAGCCTTGTGGCGTCTCAAAGATTCGATTGCTTGTCGGATCTCTGCTTCATTTGGGGGGTGGGTGTGTGGAGACAGGCCAAACAACATTCATTGGGGCTGGAGGTGCCACAGAGGGTTGTGTTGTATGGTTGAATTGAAGAGCGAAATGCTCTGCCCAGCGACCGAATCGCCTGTGAAGGTTAATGATCTTCG